ATGAAATTTTGGGGAATTCACAATCTCCCAAGGAGTGAAACCCACTCACACACACACACACATCAAGAGCGGCTGGTGTCTCTGAACGACCGAATGGGCTCATCCAAACTTGATACCCTAAAATCTTCTATTTTTCACTGGAATACGCATAGAAGCTTCTTTTATCGGAGCAAACAAACCGTATCACGAATAGCATCAGTAGGTATACGTGACACACGATTTCAAGCGAAGATGTATCAGCCCCAAAGCTTGGTATGCTTTGAATTTTACCAGTAGCACGTTGGTTCCGAAAGACAAACAAATAGTGGTTAAGTTAGCACGAAACCAATAGGTGAATAATATATAGTCACTAAATTATGGTATGATCACCTATGGTTCCTTGTGATTTGATTAAACCGAATCGCTCGGATTTCTTTGTTCTTGGTTCCCGTTTTCATCCGACAGAGCTTGGAATTTCCGACCAATTTGGTGTGCTAGGATTTGCACAGAAATCACCTGTTGACCTGTTGAACTTACAAAACAGGGAATAAGCCTTCGATTTGATAGGAACATTAAATTAGAAAATCACTTATGTGCGTAGGTTCTAGACCATAACCAAAGATAAGCGTTCTACTAAGTTGAATGTTTTTCTTCATTTTTGTCCCTATTGAGGTTGAGTGAGTACGATCAAGCGGAATGGTGACGCAACGTTTAAAACAACACTTTTGTCACCAAAATGTGCGTTTTATTTCTCCGATATTCGCTGGTTTACTCACACCAACATTACAGTCCCGGAGGTTGTGAGAAAAGCTACCGTCGGTCCAAAGCTGTCCACTGACAGATGTTTTCCTTTTTTAATCTGATCCATCAAGTTCAGAAATATTCAACTCATTTCTTGTAATACGACCAACCGATAACTTGTTCATATACACACACTGACACATGAAAGACCGACGCCCACATCAGTGTCCGGAATAGTCTATAAGGGAAAGGTGTCCCGGCACGTGACACGATCGATTAGGCGGACTGAAAATTGGCTTTGTCTCCATGCTTTACGTTACCCAGAATTAGCGCGGTACAGTTTAAGAAAAATTGTTTCCTTTTTACCGTTGAACTACGGTGTCGATCTTCCATGTATAAACGGAAACTTAAGTGACAAAAAGCCGTTTATAAAGAGATTCACCAATTACTCAAGTCTGTTAAGGATTTCATATACTGATTTTGTGGACCTACTGAGGCTTTCCACAAAAGGATACAGACAAATGAAAAAATCTGAAATTGGCACAAACTAAACAAGTTAGACTTCAGGCATGGTGAGTAAAAACAAGTAACCAGTATGGTTTTCATCCCATGTATTTTTATGTATATTCTAAAATTTCTCAAGCGACACATGCTACGTCTATAATAACCAGGGAGGCGGAGCAAGCAACTGTCTTGAATAACTTCTTTCATTTGAGGGGCGTATCGTCTTCAATTACACTGCACTGTCTTCAGAGGTGACAATAAACCAATGTTCTGCGGAGCGCGTCTGAACTTTATCGCGAAGCAACTTTTCAGCTTCGATAGCAGACAAATATATGTTTAACAAGTATTTCATAAACGGCTTTCAGGTAAATTTTATGCGGTCAGTAACCTTTTATTCACAAAAGATTGTTTAGCATCACCGCTCTGATTCACTAACGGACTGTTTTCAGCAGCACGGCCGCCAAAAATACGACCTATGTGGCTGATTAGAGATTAGTGACGAAGACGGGGTTCAGGTGAGTTAATGAATAGATGAGATATTATTAGCGATGCAAACCAGAAGAGCGGCAATCAACGAGAAAGTGGTCGCACACTTCCAAGAAAGTTTCATCTAGCCCTTCACACACTATTTTTTATACGATGCGTAGAATCTCATACGAGTCGTCAATAGCTGTAGTGGTCTTCATTCAACTTGTCGAAGGGTTATCAGCATAGACATGGTCAAATTGTTTCACCTAATAGTTTGAGCGCATGTAACTGGGCATGAACACTGGTGAAGAATATTTCAAGAAAGTGTAGTGCTTATTTTGTGTATAACACATAAGACGTTTTGTGCATCCGGAAACCTTTTGCTCAGCCTTCGTGTATACTAACAAACAGAAAAGCAGGGCGTCGGTTAGTTCAAAATCCATTTTCTCAGAGGTACAGGGAAGGATTAGAAGACTGTCTGTAGCTGAGGGCAGCGGACGAAGGTAAACTGACACTACGCTGTCAATTCGTTGATGCGATATCACTTGAGTTCATTAGAACTTTGGTTCTATTCAGTCTTCATTACAGCGTGTGAAATGACTGAGGCGAAAGGTTTCGAGCACGGATGGAGTCGAGTACTCATTAAGCGGTGGCCTCCGTGCTGCTAACTTTGAACTGCTTGATATTGATTGGAAGGGGAAACTTCGGCTGAGGTCTCGAAATTGTTTTATATAATTCGGCATGCCTTTCACACTGTTGTATTACAACAAAGAAAGCGATCGGATTAACGATTCGAAGCATTTTATCATTGTTAAATGGCATTTTTTCATTTCCATTTAAAAGCTGTGGGGTCATTTGCTCGTTCCTATCCCAGTTGCCGGTTGATCCTAGTTAACCACCTTAAAACTTCTCTAAGTTTGTTTATCTCAAACAAAGACACTTTACAAAAGAGTATTGCAGGATTGGATTGGATTACATCATGAACTTCGTCGCTTTTAGAGCAAGTGAAGCGTGAATGAAAGAAGGAGGAAGCTGTATACATCATTCAAACCTTATTGGGCTCAAATGGTATGCCTAATCCAACACAGGTTTCACTTGAGGCACTAAACCCTCAATATTTCCTACGCACTGAATTTTTGGATAAATTTCGGCCTACAAGTTTGTCAAACATTTCTTCGCACTGATTGCTTTCAGAAACTCGTGTCCAGAACGATGTGATGGAATACTTGCTGATTACTGATTGGAATCGGTCTGGTTTCACTGCAGGAGAATCATCGTCCAGCTTAACCGTGTCCATCAGTCAATATTTCTGTTTCCCCAAATTCAATCAACCGTGAGTTACGCCTCAAGTTTACTCATGCGAACCTTCACTCGTCCATTATTGAAAATAAAACCCAGCATTCAGCATTTATTGTTTTCTTCAAATCAAGATTTCTGCTACACACTAGCACCCATCTTAGGTTTCATTATTGCCTGTTGGGAAACGGAAAGGAAAATTAACAATGCATTCAGTCCTCAGCTGTGTGGCATAGCAACGTTTGTGGATTCAGCTTTTTTGGATGGGTGGAGAATTGAAGCGTGTCCTGTTAACGAAAAATGTGCTATACAGTTGTTCAGACAGATTCAATGCCACTTTTGTCGAGTGACCTTGACATGTTGAAATGGCGGGTGGTGTATGATAAGAACCTTCTCCAGACTCAGTGCAGTTGACGACCCACATGCGCGAAAAGCGGACCCCCGGTCTCGTATTCCCCGTAGCTCGAAAAGATACGAGGTTATATGGCTGAACTATGAAACAGCTTGAGTGTGTGATCCGGGAGGATTTTGTCAGCAGAGGAAACAACCGATGCGATGCGATATATTTTTCATTAAGTTCCTCTTTTTCCAACAGTCGAGTATCCTCCAAGAGATTTCGTGATAAACATGATCATTTGGATCATTCCACACAAAGACTCCAATGAAATTCCGATAGTTCTCAAAATCACACGCGGTTCGATAACTCGTGATGAGATGAACCTTACCGATGTTGAAGGTAAGATGTCAAAACGAGAGTGCACTAATAATTGGGAAGCAGAAAGTCAGCCTCTGTTTCCCACACCAACCCGGGCTATCTAACTCCATCGTTGTAAGCCGGTTGTTCCATCTACATTGCCTTGACTGATAATCAGACAGCTATTAGATAACCCCATGTTTTATATGGCATTAAGTTTAGAAATCCTTCGAGGTCCATCTTTTTTCGAGCGACGTGACAAATAAGCACTGAATGGTACTATCTATATCTTAAGAAATCGTGTCCCGTTTACCGGTGAATTCCTCTAGGATCAGCGTAGTAGTAGAGACGGATTCGAGAAAAAAAGGAAACTTGGCTGGTGGTTTTAGTTAGAGGACGATATAAAACAGGGAGACCATATGTCCAGTAACATGTAAATACAACGGTATATATTTTTTCTTAGTTACGATTCACACGTTCTTCTTCTAAAGTTTATCACACTTCAGTTGTTTATTTGATGTATTTCAACTAAATTTGTATGTGATGAAATCAAAATTTTATCGAACTTATGGACCCTGTTGAAATAAGCTGCTCCAAACTTCATACAATCATGGTCACATAAAAGCTCAGTACCAACCAGAATGAAACTGAGGTGCGAGCACGAAAACAGAATTAACCAGATTCATATTTTTTCGATCAGGTCAAGGATGAAGGCTTTGAGTGTGTGTGTGTCGGCTTCGTTTGCTCAAAACCAGTGATTCCGGAATGAAATACACAACACTATAAATGGATGTTAAAAGACTGCTTCTAAACAGTGTCAGCAAAGACCTTGCCATCTGCGCCCTGCCATTCGTCTGATAGAATGCACATCGGTGAGCTGCTAGGCGGGAGCAAGCACGTGAGTGCTATTGATACCGGTTTTAGCTTACTCAAATGATCCAAATAAGGTCAACGTATTTATGTGTGATTAGTAAAGAATTCGTTTCCACCTCTGTAAACTTAACCTCAGTGGTTTAATAAATAAGAAATGTTTTGCTCAAATATAAAATTGCAAATAAAAATTTCAGGATTGAAAAAAATGACTGAACACTCATTTTTGGTTTGATTGGTCCAACAGCTCTGCTAAAATTCATCCACCTCAAATACATGAAGTTGATTAAACATGGAGCAAATTGCATACACCTAATTTCGACTTTTGCTTGGATCCAGATCTGCGAGTTTGCGTAGGACAGAGTCGTAACGCGCGCCCGTTGAACGGTTGCGCTACAATTTCTCGCCACTGTTGCGTTCTGGAATTTATCTACCCAAATTGCTAAATATGCGTGCTTTAACCATATGTACAAAGGAATTCATGTTGAAAATTAGGGATATTATTGTGAAAAACCATATCGCCATGTTCGAAGTGCCATTTGCTAGTCAAATGCACAAATACTGCAGACGCGAAAAACGCATTCGTGCCGATTGGCAAACTGCCCTTGGTCGTACTACTACCAGCAAAATGACCGTACCGACCACTGTGAGTAACAATGTCCGTTCTGTGCTTGGGAAGCTTCCGGACTTATCCTACCTGCTACAGCGAAAGGAATTTCGCACCTCTTGTGTCTAGTGTCTTCAGGAGTCATGGTTCAATGAGGATGTGGACGATTCCGTGGTCCAACTGGATAATTTCGTTTGCTTCAGGCAGGATAGACAACAGTGTAGGAAGAAGCTGGGAGGCGGTGGGATTACTTACATCAATTCCAATGGGTGCGGCAAGTCCGAAGTACTTTTTACGTATTCACAGAATGACGGTAATTTTCCCACTTTCCTTATATCGCCATCATTAATTTATACATTGCACCCCAGTGTAGATTGTCAAACATTAACATATTTTATGATACTTTCCTACCAGTCATTGTCCCACCTCTTGCTGACAGCTTGCATTTAATAGCTGGTGACTTTAACCACGCCCCTTTCACCTTTTATTGTGTCTAAACCTTAGTTACCTGATTATTGAACCGACTAGAAGAAACTCTCATCTAGGCCACATAATCACAAACCACGCTGACACCTTTTCCACCAGACAGTTCTCCCCCTTAGGCACTAGTGATCGGAACCTGATCCTGATCGGACCTAAGATTTACTCACACTCAGGACATTTTTCTTTTACTCGACCCAAACACATCATGTTCCGTCAGCGAGATCTTTTCCCAGACAATATTGCCTTGCTTAGATCGTCTCTTAAGGTAGTTACCGACGGTTTCCCTTTAAACAACCTGCTTGTCAAATATGATATTTCTAACAAAGGTGTTAAACTGTTTTTTTTGACATATGCTGTCTTGTGATAAATTTGTTTCTTCAACATGGCAGAATATCAATAAGTTTTCTTAAACGTCTTCGCCGAGAAAAGGAACGTGCTCGTAAATGTGGCAGGAGGGGCGAGATGCAACGATTGTCGTTCCTGATCAAGAGTGAAATAAGACGGTTGGACGTCCTGTATGCAAGTTTTTTGGGACGAGGAATTGCAAATCCATGTGGTGTGGAATCAGTCTACTCTGCAGGCAGAAGAAAGTGATTTGCAGTCCTTCTATTGACATTGAAAAACTGAATGCTGCATTTATTCATTCTTCGTCTGACACATACCCCAGTTATTTTTATTCCAGTGCTCCAGACATCCAATTTTCCTTTGATCCCATCACCTCTAGTGAGATGTGTAAACACGTGTGTTCTATTATGGTGTCGACCGCACCTGGGCCAGACAACTTAAGTTCTACCCTTCTTAAACACGATGCTCTGCCACTGTCTCAGATTCTTGCACACATAGCTAATCTTCCAATTGAACTTCGAACTATTCCGGACTGTTGGCGCCCAGTGAGAATTACTCTCATCCCCAAGGGAACGTCTAAGGCCCCAATAACGGAGCGTTTCCGACCAATTGCTCTCACTTCCACTAGTTCGAAATCGATGGAGCCATCAGCTCTGCACCGTCTTCAGTCATCGCTTACCACCCTCGATGACACTTATCAGTTTGCATACAAACATAACCGCTCCACATTAGATGCCATTTCTCCTCTAGTTCATTTCATCTGTAAGTCCCTTAACGAGAAAGTCAAATATGTGCATTGTGCGTTTCTGGATTATTCTTCCGCTTTTGATTCTGTGCCCCGTTCTCTTTTACTAAACAAGCTCCAATCTTTTGGCTGTCCCGCTTCTCTTCTTGAATAGCTTGCTGATTACTTTTCGTAGAGATATCAGTACGTTCAGCTGCGAGGAAGATAGTCAGTCGCATCACTTAATAGCTCGGGTGTACTTCAATGTGCTGTCCTATCACCCTATCTTTTTTGACTTATATCACTGACTTACCTGTTACTCTCCCTGTTCGACATTTTAAGTATGCTGATGATATCGCCATTTCTGTTTCCGTATCCAACCAATCAGAACTGGCTGAATATAACACAAACCTATCCCACATCGTTTCATATTTCACTTCATCCGGTCTTAATCTTAATCCTGAAAAATGCCTTGAATGTATTTTTACTCTAAACCGTACCCCATCTCCCTCCGACAATTCCCAGATTCATGGAAAGCCGATGAGCAGGATCAGCCATGTGCAGTACTTAGGTTTCACACTTGAAAGTAACCTTCGCTGGTCCTTACATACCCAAAGTGTAGCTTGCAAGTTGAAAAGTCTATCTTTTCAGATAAGGAAACTGCGCCAATTCTTTTCTGACTTGTCGGTGATAAACGCTTTCGTTCAACAATGTGTCCTACCTATACTCCATTACTGCTCTCCTGTAATTTCCCCTGGTTTTCTGAAGGCTGATTTCAAGTTGCTGAAGCGTGGCCTCTCAATGATCAGCCGTGTCTCCCAAGTTCCGTTATCTGTTCTGATTGGCAATATCTGTAATGCCCATATCGATGCGTGCTTGAAGTTTGCTAACAATATCCTATCTGATTGCACCCATCCTATACACACTGACTTGTGTGCATGCAAATCCCACCACTCCACTCGTTCTAAGTACAAACTTATCCCGTCTCGCATATCCGCATACAGAAACGCTTTGATACCCTATCTTTTCCGGATACTGACCGATAAGGAAAGTGCTGGTTCTGAGCTTTCTAATGCATTTACTAATGAACTCATATTTTTGTACGTTTTCACATGCAACTTTTTCCCTTATTTTTATCAGAATTGTAACGGTCGTCTATTTTTTGGCTGAAAACTTGTACATAACTCGCTAAAACTTGAATACAATGCAATACAATCCGAACTATCGCGACCAGTTACTAACTTTTATGGGCATCGAACGTGTGGTTCAGAGCAAGGGACTACGGAGTGCAACTCAAAAATTCATTATTTGAATCCAGAGTGCAGGAACGAAGAGGGAAAAAGCGATTGCAACTGACCAGCTCACAAACGGATGAAACAGGTATCCCGTACTATCAGTCGTTTAATACAGCAATATGTACTTTCCTCATGCAGAATCTACATGTTGCATACCGCTGTACACATTTTCAATGTTCAGTGACATTTTATTTCCAACTTTGATATTCAATCGTAGTTCAGTCATAGAATTTCAACGCTCCTAAGGGTAATCCTATAACGATTCGCTGTATAAGTAATTTGGTATATACTTACCTTTGCATATCGATCTTCATCTGAAAGAACTGAAAACAATCATATACATTCGCAGGGCACTTTAGAGACAGTAGAAAAATTTGTGTTTTGAAGATGAGGGCATTTTCAAGAACCAAAAGTATCAGTTTGCAAGGATGACAGTCTTTGTGGCCCCGCCAAATGCGACTTTGTAATCCTCGTACTCGTGTTGTCCAGTATAGTGCACTGCATTATTGCGGATTGCGTGATGGAATATTTGGAACCTTATGACTTGCTCTAACCAATGCTTCACGAGTTTCGACAAAAGCTATATTGTTCTGCCAACCTAATTCGTGCCTGAGTTGAAAGGGTAAAATCGGACGACCAGGGAGATGCGGCACACGTGACTTGTCTGAAAGTTTTGCAGGCATTTGTTTGGGAAAATACCCAAATATTGTTATATTCCCTTTAGAATTACGGTATTCAAGATCATCCAATTGATTACATCTGATCGTTACTTCAACAAAAACCTACTTCTGCTCAACTTCCTGATTTTCTTCCCGGTCAACAAAGGGATTTGCTTGGGGTGTAACAAATTCGGAAGAATGTTAGCCATCTATGTCATCCACTGGTAACATTACCATCTAAAGTCCATCTTACAGTATATATACTCCAACCGGTACCTCATGAAGGCAGCTTGAAATACTGGTGTTAACTTGCTCCCGTCAGACTTTGGACCAGATGGAACATTTGCCACAGTAGGTCGCTTTTGCAGTCGGGTGACATCGACAGCCCATGTGAAGTGGTAGTTTTCTGCTTGTACCCGTTAGTTTATATATGTGTTCTACTCCACCAACTATTTTTTCCTTTTTTCTCGCTGTGTTCGGCCCGGTTCGCCGTTGAACTGGCGCGAGGAGCTGAGAATAAGGGTGTGGGTTGTTCTTTGTTTTAATTGTGGTTTTGATCAATTCTGGTGTCATTACATAGATTTTGTGGTGACTTTTGATCCAAGAGTTGCATTGGCGCGTACATGTGATCCAGTTTGATTTCTGTTACTTGAGCTGGTTGCAGAGTAGTCACTTTACCCATGACACTTTTCATTAGGTGTACTACCTCAGGGGGCAAGAGAAGCACCAACCTTGAAGCAATTTCCTCCATGAAATCGTGACGTTTTGAAATGCGCTAGGTGTCAGTGTTCTTATTTTTCTTTACTGTTCTCATATTCATTCATAAAAATTCAATCACACCTACTTGTAGTTGAGTGCAGCCAAAACTAGACACTCGTTTAAGCCATCGATCGTTGTATTCTTCCTCAAGATCATTCACTGAGCAAATATAAACTTCTACTTTTATTCTCAACTACAGTACTAAAACGGAACACTGGCATTTTCTGCTCCCTGAATCGATATCGTTTAAATAATCATAAAATGCCAGCATATTACAACATGAAACAACTCAATCAATAAAAATCCACTGTTTAATTGAGGTATTTGAGTCACTTTTTGGACTGCCAGACAGATTTTTATGTTTTTGATTTGCGCAGAAAATATACGTTACTGAGACAGTGTGATTTTTACCCAACTGTTTCTGGTGTGACTATAGTTACTGCTTGTTCTGGGCTTTATTCATCGAAAATTTCATCAAGGTGATCAAAGGTGATAGAAGCGGTTTGAATCTGTGGTCACCACATCGTTTCGTGATGGGAAACAGAGGAGTCTACTAAGGGCAGTGGCTTTGGATTACCAAGCTACAATATATTTGTATTGCTATTTCGATGTAGCGAATCATCAAACAAACGGAGCTTAAAACTGTCGGGACAGTATTGAGATATTACCTAAAAGATCAGGTACAACTCACGAGTCCACAATCTATCGAGGATATCTTATACTATCACTGCTTCATTCATTTTGAAAGAATTTCCAATTTTATTCACCTAAGTGTGTGTCCATCTAACAAAACCTTCACAAACGTTTCTCCCATTGTATTTTGAGGTATAAATCCATAGATGACGAAAGTTTGCATGTACCAAA